AATATTGTTGTGAAGTATTTTGTAGGTTATTTTAAGTTTATTTCGTGTTTGTGCATGACGCTTCCCTCGCGACTAGAGTCTTGTTATGATCTGTTTATAGATCAAGGTTAATCCGTGTATGTCTTAACAGGTTTTTGAGTGTTATTACCCTTTTAATGGGTTTGTCAACCGAAGTGTCATCAAGCTTGGGGTTTAATTAAGTTTGATTGTCAGATTTTAAGTGGGTACGTTTGGGAACCATTACTGACCTTGATCGTTACCTACATCAGAGTTCCTGTTTTGGTTTAAGGTAGAGTCTCGTGGGTTTAGCTGACACGCTTTCATTGGTTTTCTTATCGGTTTGTCTATTCCACTTTGATTATCACTCGGAAAAGCATTTGTAACTCTCATGGTCAGCAAGCCTAGATGTACCTGCGTTTTACTCATATAAGTTGCCTGTGGTAAGCACGAGTGAGAGAGAAAGTAGTTGAGACTAGTTACATTTGAGCTGCTGTAAAGATTAAAGAACAACAAGACGTAAACTCAGATACCTGGTACCTCTACGCTCAGCGAGCGAGTTGCTTGTAAACCCCCTACATATTTTGGTGGAGAATCCGTTATTTTGTGGGAGAATCTGAGTCTGTTTTGGTGCAGAATTCCTTATTTTGCTGTTCATGGTGGTTTGAAACAAGTCAGGAGTGGAAGATCCGCCTTTGAAATCTGTGAGTGCTATGCCGACTGTTGCCATTGCAAACATTTAAGAACATTGTTTAAGTTTAAATTTAGTCGTGTGTAGGTGGAAAGTCATATGTGAAAGGCAAAATCATAATGACAGAACTTTGTATTTAAGTAATGTATAGGCTTGCTGTTGAATTCCCATTATTTTATGGCAACGGGAGAGAAGATGTTCACGAGTTTATTGATAACTATAGTCGGGCCAGTAGATTAAATGGTTGGGATGAAGAAAAATTGGTGCTTGGTCTTCCTCTTTTTCTAAAACATCATCCAGCGTGTGGTTTAAAACTTTATCAGAGGCCGAAAATGAGTCATTTCAAGTTTTGTCACAAAAAATAATTTCTCATTTTGAATCAAGTGTAACTCTATGGCAGGTGAGACAAAAATTAGAAGAACGTCGTCAGTTATTTGGGGAGACTGTTGCCGATTACTATTATGATATTCTTTCATTCTGCTCTCACCTTAATTTACCTAAAAGTGAATGGCTTTACTGTTTTGTACGAGGTCTAACACCTGAGATATGTGACCACGTTATTTTGCAACAGCCAACTGAAGTGGACTCCACTTTAAATTTTGCGAGATTAAAAGAATTAGTTACTCTTGGTAAATCGAAAAATGTTCAAGAAGTTGAAGAATGTTCGAAGTTTAAGTCTAATCCCTTAAAAGAGGATATCAAACAAATTGTCAGAGACGAATTAAATGTATGGACTGAAACTTCCCAAAATAACGAAAAACATCGACATCTTAATCGGAAATTTCCATCATGCAATTTTCTTGTCCATTGTGGAGGCACTGTTTTTGGTAAAAAGCCGAAATTAGGCAGATATAGAAATTTCAAACCTAATTTTAAACACTTGGATCAGAGAAACAATACGCAAAATGTTTTTAACCAGGGAATAATTGGCGCTCGGTTAAACTGGCTGGCGCCCCTATCGTGTGTGGTAGTGAACCCGTGATGGGGGCGCTTGAAAATTCTACAAGAAATGACCATTCTTCCGTCGGATCTAGTTCTGATAAATGTGCTTTCAGTAACTCTGGAAATTCGGTCAAAGGTGTTACTAAAAAGAATGTTCAAGAGTTTAGCCATGTTGTGTCTAATCCCTGTGAGCCTATTGTTACGCCAAAGTCTAAAATATTTAAACCTCAAGTTTCCGTCCTATGTCAACATGAGTGTTCTCAAGATTGCCAACCTCAAAATGTCCTTAATAAAAATATTTTGTTTGTAGTTATTAAGTGTCTTTCGCAAGCCATAACAAGATGTGAACATGTAGTCGCTGGGTCATTGCCGAAGGAAAGCAAAATTGTTCAGTCTTCAAATGTTCCTGTGTTTTCTCCCAACCGAGTAGTAGATCAAAAGAAGTCTTTAAATGACAATGTATCTCAAGAAGTTGGAGAGTCAAAAGAAGAATTGGCTCCTGAGTATAAAAATGAAAACAAATTGAAAGTAAATGACATCGGGGCTAAATTTGTTGTTTCTAAAACGTGTCATGGCTTATCTGTCTCGAGTGACCCTAGGTCGCACGTGACTGACAGTGTTTCTTTTCCTGCCAATTCCTGTAGACTTGATTCTGTTTATCCTTTCAAGGGTGACAGTTTTGATATATCTGTAACGATAGAAGATTTTAAATTTCCTGCTCTTATTGACACTGGAGCAGCTGTTACAGCAATTAGTTCTAAAGTTTGGGACAAGTATCTTGGTCATAAAAATTGTTGTTTAGATCCCTCTTCGACCACTCGTGTAACGTCTGTAAGTTCTCCTCTTAGCGTTTTTGGGAAAGTATGGCTCAATTTTGTTATTAAGTCTGACGTTTTTCCTTTTGAAGCCCATGTTATCAAAGATTTGACTCATGACGTTGTTTTGGGCAGAGATTTTCTTCAAAAATATCGTTTGATAATTAACTTTATGGAGAACATAATTGAATTTTCGCACCACGAGGATCCCCTCCCCTTTGCTGGTAGTTTTGGTATTGATTTGGATGCTGAAGGTTTTGATAATTGTGTTTTGTCAGAAAGCCGTTTTCTCTGGCATATGATTTTTAGCTGTTCATTTGCAAACTGCCCATGGATTTTTGACACTACAGGAAGAACGGAAATTGGCGTGTAGTTTTCTCTGTCAAATTTCACCACGCCCTTGAAAATTGGTTAGATTTTTGCAATTTTTAGCCTGTCTGGAAACACCCCAGATTGGAAAGAGAGGTTCATCAAAGGTGTAAGCAGCCTTAAGAATATTACCTGGTATACCATCACCACCTGTGGCTTTGGATGCATCTATCATTTTAAGCGTTTTGAAGACTTCATCAACTGATAGTTTTCTAAAGTTGAAACTGTTTTCAGCTCCCTGAGGTTCACTGTCATAGGATTCATTAGTTTGGTGCTTGTGTTGCAGTAGGTTAGGTCAGACAGTGACAAAGTAGTTGTTTAATGCATTAGCTATTTGGTGGGCTTCGTTAACTCAGAGTCATCTATTGTTAGTTTATCAATGGTTGCATTTGAGTCGGTTTTGCCAGGTAGAAATGTATTAAGCATCTTCCAGAATGCTCTCGGTTCCCTCCCTTTTTCTTCCAATGTCAATTTAAAATATATTGCTTTCAATGTTTTCTTTGGGGCGAGATGCTTTGGTTTTAGAGGTTTCTGTATAATGCCCATAGCTGATCATCACCAGAATTAATAGCCTGTTTATGCACTCTGTCTCTTTTCCACGGACAACCAATAAGTCTGAGGAGGTCTTTACATATCCATGGATGAGTTTTGTACCTTATTCTCCCCGTAGATTTTGGGAAACGGTTTTCCACAAGCTCATTTATGGCAGCAATTGTACTTTCCCATTGTTGGTGAATGCCATTTATCGACTAGGGAAAGCTGGTGGCGCTTTTTGTACTCAAGTCTTTGTTAAAAGCAAGGGTCTCTCCCAACAGAGAAAAAAAATATCTTGCAGAAATACAAGGAATGGTACATTGATGCTACAGAAGTAGAAAAGCTCGTTGAATTAAAATGACAGGTAGCCCACTGCTCTGTATGTCACAAATATGAAATGTTTGTAATAAAGTGTAAAAACTGGAGAATATGATCAATGAAAAAGTTTGTACATAAGCACTGTACAGTACTGTGCAAAAGAAATGAGAGCGAAGTTCACCGAATTTCATCCTTTGTTCTCACGAAAGTTCACCGAAATTTTGCAACGGAATTTCTCACCAACAGTACCACTATTTGCCCACAACACGGACAACCAAGTTAAGGTTCCATAATAACCAAAAATAATTTATCATTTTAACTTCTTCCTATAATTTACCTTTGAAGTATCGCAGAGATATTTATGATATAGTTTTCGTTGGTAAGAGTCTTAAGAATATATATAAGTTAAACGTTTTCGATTATGTATTGTTTCGCTCTTGAACCAAACCACTTAACAATGTTAATCATTTAACACTTGATGTCCCTTTCAGGACGGACAGAGGGACGTCTTTAAGAATTCTTTGTTTTGTTTAGATCTGTCGCCTGTGGAATGAATTACCTCTTAGTACAAGAGAGTCAAATATCTTGTCAATCTTCCGTAAGAATTTGATCGCCTTTTATTATAACAACTTTAACGTAAATTTTCTCTAATTTTAAATTGTACTTTACTCAATCATTTGTCCATTTATCGCAGTTGTTCATTAATTTTTTTTATTTTATCTCATGTCTTCTGCAATTTTTTAATACTTTTTAACAATAACGTTTTAGATAATTTTATTACTTATTTAATTCTCTAAATCTATTTATGATGTAATAATAGGTGGCTTATTTTTTAAGGAGTCTTGTACACTGTTTTATAGCCTACCTCAGATTGAGCGATTGACTGATTTAATTGTCATTGTAATTGTGAACCTGGAGCTTGATTAAATGAAATTAAATTAACAACTGCCATCAATGGCAGGGGAACAATATTTGTACTGCCACCTTTTTTGTTCCATTGCTGCAGCTGGGAAGTACATACTAGCTGTGGCTTTTAGTTTTCTTCTTTTAGCAAGATCTTTGTTTTTGCCTTGTAAAGGCTACATTTAGAGACCTTCAGCATAAGTGCTAATATATGATTAAAGACCCCACTTTTTCAGCAACAGTACAGCTCCTGAGGATACAGATTGATAATTTTAACTGATGCAGTGGGTTGTTGTTGTTTTTTCTGTAGTTGTGGCAACACTTCGCCTTGAAATAGAAACATTTATCGTCCCTAGTTGCAATAATTTCATGAAGATATTCATCTTCAAGAAATGTCTTAGCTTTTCGAAGTGGAGTTGGAACATAATGGT